TAATGTACCATATCGAAAGAGGAAGTACATCTCTTCACGGTAAGGTACTTTTGACGAAGAATTGAACTTGAAAATAAGTCTAAAATTTAAAAATATCAAAGGACCTCTGGGTTTTTAGAAAACCTACATTTTGAAAAGTTTATCTACGCTAATTGTCAACTTCAAATACACCACTCAAAAGAGCATCAAAAACTGAGTCTAGATATGTGTTTGATGACCCTGGTTGAGGTGTGGATGAAAATCAGCACCTACACTTGCAAGGACGGTATTATCACCCGATACATTAAGAGTATGCAATAAATCAATGAAATATTAATTAGGAAGAGAGAAAATCAATTAAAATTATTAAGTTTATAATATATTTTGATCGCATGTGTAATGTGATACTTGTGATAAAGTATAAATGGTTGACATGTTATGAAAATCATTTTTTTATTCTTTATAAATATTAGTGAGCTTATATCTTGCTTTTGTTTAGCATAGAATGAAACCTCGTGCAAATTGATGTAATAATCGCGCTAATTTAAAAGGAACAATGCATATATGCATGATAGTTTGTACACAATGTTTTTTCTCTGCTATTGTTGACTATAATATCTTACTCAAAATAATCGCTATGAACATAAAAAGTGATTGACTTTTCTTTCAAGTGCTGTCGTCAGTGTCAAATTTGTACTCATAACCTTAGATAAAATTAAAAAGAGAAGCATTTAATAGTGTTTAACAACTTGCCACTGACACGATAATACATTTCATATACCAATTCATCATCGAGTTGGAAGATGTAGCAAAACGCACTAGAGTTAAAATGTAATTAAGATTGCTTTTGATTTTTTGCGATCATACTGTACTTTTATGATTTTTTCAAATAAAAGCGAGTCGAATATAATTGGAAGTCATTGATTATTATCGATAATCACTGAAAATCGATTTGTATCAGTTGCTTCTTTCTTGAGTAACATTAATTAACTGTACATAAAGAGCAATTGAGGAAATTAACCAGATACAATTAAGTAATCGAATGTTTGTATTACCATTATTTCTTGTTAAACTGCAGGTTCACGATTGAATGATTAAGTTATTTTATTCGTGGAATTCATTGGCTTTATTTAAAGTTAACTTTTGATATGTGGGGACAAGTAAATAATTTACCATTTGAACAGGAGTTACTCAAAAATATGAACCTTTGATTTACTTTAGCAAAACTATCTTCTAACCATTAAAAAATGCCTCATGAAAAGCAGAGGGTGAAAACACCTTTTTCTTCTATCAACTACACACGATTCGCTCATTCTTTTCGAATAATAAAATATTGTGTCGAAATATCCATTTTATTCAATTCACTCGATATTTTTAACGAAAGAATGATTTTTTTTAACACTTTTGATAGTGATAGCTTTTTGTCTATTCAATTTGCCAAATAGTAAATATTCGTTATAGGACGTTAGGAACACAGGCAACTTTAGCATTTAGTAATCCTAATACCATTTAGTTTATGGCATTTACCGGATGTTATTTGCTTATGGATTACATTGAATGATAGCTGGCATTATTGTGTAGGTCTTTCATAGATTTACAAGATCAAATAAAAGTGCAAACATCTTACCGTTGCCTATATAAAAGAAGGTTTGCGATTGAAGTACAGGACACGCGCTCTTTCGTCTTACAATAAACATGATATTTAAGCTTGCTTTTATCATCTTGATTTTGGTCGCACTTGGCAACTGCATATTTCCATTTGGCCGCGCTGCCGGTGGCTACACGGATCGACCAGAATTGGTCAATAGCGACCTAGCAAGATCCCTAATGGAGTTTGTTACTCGGCACTTGGCTAAATCACAAGGTATTCAGTTTAAGGACTTCAAAATTATTCGTATTCTAACTCAAGTTGTTGCTGGCACGAATTACAATATCATATTCTCTGGCACACCTTTGAATGGTGTTGGAAAAACTACTAGTTGCAATGTAGTCGTTCGTGCTCCTTCACAAGGTGACCGTTTCGTCTCTCAGTCACAATGCCAAACATCTTAGAGATGCATTCATTCCTTTTTTTCGTCCTTCTAAAATAAATTTGATGCATCTATAAAAGTGAAAAAAATACAACTTGACTGTTTCTTCAGCTTTGTTTTTCAAGATCGCTTCAGAAATAGACAACTCTTATTAAACAATGAAATTCTCTTCGTTTACTTGTTTTACAAGAATTTCGGACGATATTTTTTGATTCATAGACTTTATATTCTTGTTATTTCAGGTGCATAATGTAGCACTTTCATTTCTTCTATGCGTTACAAATAGGAAAAAGAATGTGTTATATGTTTTGGCAGTTCTATGAACAACAAGTTCATCGGATTATCTAGAATAGTTTTCAGTAATCACGGAATGATATTCTACAGAATCAAATGAAAAATTGATGGTAAATGCTAACATGGCCAATGGGATGATTTTGCATAGTATAATTCACTTTTTCTTTGTTTCGACGAATATTTCTTTTTGTTGATTGAATCTTGCAATTGAGAAAACAATTCCCATGGTGATTTTTCTCGACAATGCAAACGGTGCTTTTCAGCAATAATTTATATAAGTATGAGTGTATCATATCTTTTTGTGCAATTTTATTGTTGACATGTTTTTCATATAAATCCATTTTCTAGAGTCTGTCTCCAAAACGTTTCTTTTTTAATTTTGTTCTCTAATATCTGCCAGACAACCTTAGAAAATGTTGGTTCAGTAGCTGATCAACTCGTAGAGATCGACACGTCGAATGTTAAAAATAGAGGTGTTTTCAAAGGATCATCCTAGAAAAAACGGGCTTTCTAAGAAAGACGCAGTAAAGCCAATAGAATTGTTTTGTGGAACTCTCATATATTTTCGAAGAAAATAGTGAGTGTAAGTTTTAAGTTCGAGCTTTTCGGGCTCCCTTCCACCCCATTACAGACCTTAGCAATCGGCAATAAAAGGTGGAAGATTTTCTATAGTTTCTTTTTTGGAAAATTGATCAAGTTATAAGTTTGAAAAATGATGAATATCATTATTTGTGACTTGATTAATATATATGATAGTGTGTAAGATGTGCTGCAGATATCATAGATCTGTGAAACACACTTATTTGTCAATTAATTCAATGATTAGAATAATAAGAATGATAAATTAAGAAAAACGAATTAAAAAAAATGAAAAATAATGAGCGAATAGCAATAATGAAAACAAAAAATTGGGCGCCTGTAGAAAAAAAATAAAAAAATTTTGTTTGAAATGCAGAAATTAGAGAAGTTTTTATTTCAGTGATTGATTATCCTGCAAAACGATTATAGTTCACGAGAGATTTTTCATTTTACATTTTTTGTATTAGTTTAAATAAGGCTAGAGAGCATATGTGAGTTCCACATTTCAGCCCCAAAGGGGCTGCGCTAACAAGCTTTTTTATCACATTCATTACAGTGAGTGAATTTGATAAGCCTACTGATTGCAAAGTTATTTTTATCGAAAGTTGCAACTCTTCGTTGTTTACTTTACTTAATTAGATGTGAAGATTATTATGCGAATATTAAATGAAAATTCATCAACGATTTAACAATATATCAGTATGTACGGATTGATTAATATTGAAAGGAAAACAAATGCTCTTCCCTTATTAACACATTTCTTCATCCACTTCTATTCAGATTGTTTTGTTTGTCAAATGAAATACCAATAAAAAACCTATTGTAATGACCTATTTATTCAATAATAGGTAGCTTATTTTATTTCACCCATAAGATAAAAATTATAGTTGTTTTACATTTGGAAAATAAGCTTTATGTTGTTCAGATATTTTAATTTTTCTAAGGATACGTAAATTAGTTAATTTCGAACCATTAATTCGTGTTGTTTCTCTTGTCAAATTGCGTGTTGTCTTTCGTCAAGGATGATATTCGACAAATAGAGATAGATTATTCGATATAGACGTTTTCGAATCGTCGAGAGATCGTTCAACATAATCAGCATGAACAGAAGATAAAACCAGTTTGATAAGATGAGGATATTTAATAATTGAGACATTTTCATTATTCTTATTTAAAATTTGACAATGTTTATGTTTTTTGACCTGTCGGATTATTTATAAATAATATTTTAAGAAAAAAACCATGTTCAAACGGATGTTCATCAAATAAAGTTATTTCTACAACACATTTAAATAATCTACCAGGAAAATTATTTGTTATACTTCTATAATGTGTGATTTTATATGAATATGAATAAATATGACATTGATCTGTGTAATTCCTTCGAAAATAATTAACGCAAGAAATAACTTTCATATTCATGAAATTTGTGATTGTACGAACTATTTCTTCATTGGGCGGTAAATAAGGCTCTTTGTTAAGATATTATACTGACCGAATATTAAACATAAATTTGGTTAATTGTAATAGATGATTTAGAATATTCGTAGTTAAATTATTTTCATCAATAAATATTTAATTACTTTTAACAACAAGGCATAAAGAAAGTTCTTCAAAATTTAACATTCGATGTAACACTGGAACAATTAAATCCGAAGATAACAAATCAATTTATTGATCTTATTTAGAAAATAACTTATTTTATTACTGATTATTTCCAATGGACGATGAATTAAATCAATATGAACAGAGAAGCTACGAATTTTATTGAAACGACCATCAAGTAGATAAAGATAATCATCGAATTCTTGAAAATTCACATACAATTCGGTTGATGTCGAATAGAAACAGTATGGCGATTTTCTAGCACATGATAAGTATTCACTACAGATATTTGTAGATAAATGTAAATTTAAATATTGTAAATTGGTAAAAACATTAACGATATCGGTGAATAAACTTCTTATTGCACCCGCCAACGACAATGTGTTTTCATTATTGCACACTGTTATAACTAATTTCGATATTTGACTACGATATATTGAAATTAAACCATTTTCATCTAAACATACATATTATTTACCTAAGAATATATTTCATCATTTTTATTTTCAATTTTTATGATAGAAATATATCATTAATAGAATTTATCTTACCAATAAATGAACGTTTAAATGACTCTTCATCAATGTGGTACAAACCAAATTGATATAAATTCGGATAATTAATCGAACGAAAAACGCCTTCCATTGATAATGATTCAAGACTTAACCATTTTACTTTTGAATAAATTTCAAGTAGAATTTCTGAACAAAGTCGGCCAATTATTTGATCGGATAGTGAATAAACAATATCATCAGATGAATATCTCAACAATTTTAGACAGTTAGTTGAAACAAAATCAAAGACAATGCTATTCAGTCGCATATTAATGTCTATTAAAGAATAGAGTACATCAATGCTCTTTAACTTCTTGAAAATAAACAGAAGTACTTCATTGAGTAGATCAACCAGTTGAACAGATAACTGTGTCATATTCAAACGCCGATTGCTCTTTCTAATGGAAATCTAAAATAAAATGTACAGTACACGCTATTTTTAAAGCAATTAATATTAAACAAATAGAAAACAAGTAAATAAGGCATTTGTACCTGATTCAGTTATAAAGTTTCATCACACAAAAATTCAGCATTATGACTGTACAGAAACATAAGAACATCGGATTACTGTTTTCGCAAAATCGAAATAATCATTATGTCAGTAGCTGTTAGTTCCCTACGAGCTTCACTCTCTGATGACATTTTTACATAAGAGTAGCTTTTAAATACTTCCACAGTATACCCTACAAAAGTTCTATGGATTCAGGTATGAATCTTCAGTTCACAAAGAATCTCAAGAATTTCCTTATCTGATTCTAATACTCGATTATTATTTTTTTAGAATTCCTAAAATTCAATCTATAACCAGAAAAAGAAACGCGAATAGTGGTAAGGCTAGAAACTGTTGCTAATACAGAGTTCTCTTTTTCCGCGATTCTTGAGCTAGATAATATAAGCATTAAAAAATGAATCCTAATTGTCTATCTGAATGCAATGCTAAGAAAGACTTTGTTTGAACAAGTTCTGTTCTATGCTATTTACTAAGAAGATAAGTCAAAAATTGTTTTTTTTTATTGTCTATTTCAAAATATTAGCTAGAAATGGAACAACGTCTTTTAATCTCATTTTTCATCTCCATACGTATGATCATCACTTGCTTTGATTTTATATTTTATAAAACAAAAAAATTGACACTAGTTTCACTCGTTTTATCTCAGTAAGAAATAAAAAGATATAAACATGAACACGATCGATAGATCTTCTGAAAAAAGGAAAAGTTTATGAATTTTAAAACAACTTTCGAAATGCTTTGTGGTCTTAGAATGGTTTCTCAAAACTTTCAATGGATTTGTAAATCTTTGTTATACAGAAGTTGCATGTGGAATGGATAGAACGTTACTAGTAGTATTATAGTAATGAAATAAAAATGAGAATGAATACTATGTAATGCTTCTTGCGAGAATTTCTATAAATATATTTCAACTCAAACACATCTATTAAAATAAACTAAAAAAACAAGAAGATATGGAAAAAAACTATGGATTTGATATTATTCAGCGTTTTTTCTTTCGTAGAATCTTTTAACCTACATGATATATATCTATTTTGTTTTTGTGATCTGAATTTGGATTTAGTGACTGTATTCAATACAAAATGTCTTTTCGTTGTCTTCATCTTAACTAGACAATATAGTTATTACATGATTTCTTTTTTACATTGAAATATCTATGAAAATCAAGTTGAGATTTATTTAAAAAAACCCTATAAAGCATTTTTTACCAACATATTACGACAGTGACTATTTGTTTACAGCATTGGGCATAAATCTGAAAAGAAAAAAAAAAGGATGCCATACAACGAAAAATAGATCACAATCTATTCATGGCTTGAACATTATTTTTCAGCTAAAAATTGATTCCAAATCTTTCCTACAATATGTACATTGTAAACGTTGGCTTTTAATCCAAGTATATCCAGATAAAATAGGCATTAACACTCTCCATATTATTTTCCAAAATGATTATTATTTTAACTGAAAACTACTGTTGAATTGTATTTTGTATAGAGTGAATGTGACCCTTTGTCAAAGAAAAGGAACTATTCTGTATTAAATTTCTTTCATTAAATGATAAAGAAAAACAATTCAAATACTTCGTATTTTTAATTGTTGTTACGTTTGAATATTCTTATTTTTCTCTCCCTCAAACGAGAAGCTACAACAATTAGGAGTACTCAATCTTGATGATTTGTATGCTAGAAGATTATTTTCTTAAAAAAATGTGCTTTAACATTTCAAATTATATTATTGATTATTTATTTTTCTGATCAATTATTCGAACACAATCAGATCATTTTTGGTCTGTGTAAAGAATCATCTACAAATACATATCAATTACAGAGAGAATTACTAAAAATTGTTCGAAATTCATTAAGAAAATAATTTCTTTTAAGAAATAGAATTGAGTTCTTATTAATAGAATAAAGCTCATTATTAAATTTGTTGTCAATATCTTTTTCAGTAATTAATGCGAGTTTTGATAACGATGATTGTGTCTCTTTTGCACAACTAAGATTAAGTAAATATTGAAAAATATGGTTTTTATCAAGTTTATCTATATAATCATGATTAGATGATAAGTTTGCAATAACATTTGAAATATGTTGATGTACTTCAAATAAAGATATAACATGAACTTGTGCAAGTTGAACAAGTAATCGTAATATAAATGAAAAACAGGTAAATTCTATATTAATTAACATAAAATCTAAAATTTGCAAAAATTTATCAATAACATATTGATCTGATATTCGTTTAATATTATCAAAATAATTCTACATATAATCATCATAAGAAGTTCTCGATGATTCTAAGATATTAACAAGTTCCATAGGGATTATACCAAATTTAGCATAAAAATTAACAAATACTGTACAATCAATGTTATTACCTGAATAAAAGAAACAATGAAAGAGTGCAGTTTTGAAATTTTCTTCATCAAAAGAATTCTTTTCAACAGCATTTTGAAATATATTAAAATCTTCTTCAATTAATTCCATCGCTATATGAATATAATTAGGTTTGGAAACAGAAACATAAGTATCATTAAGCTTGTTGAACAAATAATTATAAAATTCAAGAACGAATTTATTCATAATTTCATGTAGAATACGAATGTATATGTTCAATAACTAATTTTATACTTTCATAATCTCATGAATTCTTATTATGATATAAAGTCTTTTAAAATAGTATAGAATCTTTCTTTTCAGAGTTTA